TCTATCTATCTATCTATCTATCTATCTATCTATCTATCTATCTATCTATCATCTCTCTCTAACAACCTGATTAGAAGCAACCTGGAGAAACAGGATGCCAATATCAGCCAAAAACTGTTAAAGCTACCTCCTGTTAAAAACTGTTAAAGCTATCTAAAGAAAGGAGGATTAGGGATCAAGGAAGGAGATAGTAGACTCCTTGCTTTTATTTATTTTTATTTATGAATTACATTTATACGCCCACCCGTCTCACTATGCGGAGCAGCTTTTCAATCCAAAACATCGAGGTTTCTCTCCTTAAAGGACATTTCAACCCACAAAAAATATGAAGGTTTTGGGGTTTTTTACTTACTGTACAATAAAAAACAAAAATTCTGCAATATCTTCCACATAAAACTCAGGCATCGCTGCAAAGACTTTCGGGACATCTGGATTTAAAGGCAGTTTTATGCTGCAGACGGGAGAGATGAGAAGAGGTTCTTTAAGGAAAAAGACTCGCTGAATCAACAGCACAAGCTACAGCCGTTAATTCCAGGCTCAATCACAATCCTAAGCTTGAGGGCTCACTGTGTTTCAAAGGGGCTCTCTGAAATTATTAGAATGGCCTCTGGATGTGCATTTCAGCGCAGAATTTAGATCTGAGCACAGAGGTGCACCACCAAATGTTGTCCCTCTGACAACAGAGACTTTAGCTCATGGGGTTCCCAACCCGTGGTTTGTGGACCAGCACCGGACCACAGCATGGCAGAAACTGGGCCACACAAACAAGCCCCATTCGTGGGATGCAGGCAGCATGCAAAAAACCACGTTCCCTTCCAGTCCACGGAAAAAAAACTTTCCCCCACAGAAGCAGTCCCTAATACCTAAAAGTTTTGGGGGCTGCTGTTTTAGCCTATTGGGCTAACAGTCCAATCCAGCAAGGGATGGGGGAGACTGTAGGCCCGCAAACTCACTTAGGGTAGGCAGGATCAAGAATCCGTAGCAAAAGCTGGATCACCACGCTGTAAAAGTTGAGGCACCTCCGGAGAAAATTCTCGTCTAACAGGCTGGCGTCTGCACAAGCTTTGCACCGCACCAGTTTCTGGGCAGGACACGGCGAGAGCAAAAATGAAGCGGCGCGACCTAACAAGTCGCGAAAAGTAGCCCCTCTCCCCCGCCCTGGGACAGTGCCGCAAAGGGCTGAATGGTTAGCAACCAACCTTGAGTTGGGTTTTGCATCGCTTCAACATCTCTCGATGCCTGGTAGCTAGGGGAGAGTCCTTCCACTGGCTTTCGTTGTTCTTCAAATCCTCCACGGTCCTGCAGAAACCCAGAAGGCGTTGAGTGGGGAGGATTTGAGCCATCCAAAGCATCGGCGCTCAAACCACCGCAAGAGGAAAAGACTTAGCTGTCAGCTTTGGAAGCCCTATTAGCACCAGAAGCTTCCACGCTGCCGCATTCCTGGGCCTGGGAAGATGGGAGGGGGGAATTTCAGGGAGCGTGTGCGGTTAAACATAATAGCATTCTTCTTCTCAGTCAAGGTCATGTTATTTCGGCACCTGGGTGAGGAGTGAAGGGAGGTCTCAAGTTGGGACGGATGGTTATTGGAGCATGAGATGGAATGAGGGGTGCAGGGGGTGGACTTATAATTTTTTTTACTTATTGGAAGGAACTTTCAGATTCAGGATTTCCCAGGTGTGCCAGTTTACTACTCTAACAAAAGGAAATTTTGAGAAGATGCCTGCCTCAGAGTTATTGGTTTTCTGAAACCCTGACATTAAGACTGATATACCGGTTCATTGTCAACTCATATTTCTCTGGTCTTTTAGAGTTGCCCACAGAAAGGGAGGGGAGAGCAGCGCAGCAGCTTGGAAACCAAAACTGCATTCCATAAATGTTTTCAAAGATAGTTTCCAGGCCACCAAAGTTTCTGCTGTGCAAATATCTAATTGGAGAACATGATTGATGACTCTGGGCTATGGATGTGTCCCATTGGAGAATATGAATTATGAGTGAGGAAAACCAGGGTCAAAGGTGACAAGGAATGATGTGTCTTGGAGTCGGCTACACCCAGGCAGCGCTGGGCATGTTTACTCCTAATAAATCTTCTTTAAGCTTTTAAAATCCTGCTACAGACTCATGATTTAAATGGGGGTAACCACCGGAGCCCTGACACATTGTGGTTTACAGCCTTCTAAGCGGTTTACAGAGTCAGCCTTTTGCCCTCAACAATCTGGGTCTTCATTTTACCCACCTCAGAAGGATGGAAGGCTGAGTCAACTTGGAGCCGGTCAGGACTGAACTCCTGGCCACGGTTCATTCAGGGATCGTTCAAAGTTACAACGTCACTGAAAAAAGGGACTTAGGACCATTTTACCATACTTATGACCGTTGCAGCCTCCCTGTGATCACGTGGTTTAGATTCAGATGCTTGGCAACTGATTCATATTTATGACGGTCGCAATGTCCTGGGGCTATGCGATCCGCTTTTGTGACCTTCTGCCAAGGGGAAGCCAGGTTCACTTAACAACTGTGTTACTACATTTAACAACTGCAGTGATTCACTTAACAAATGTGACCAGAAAAGTCACAAAACGGGGCAAAACTCACTTAGCAAATTTCTCACTTAGCAACAAAAATTCCACTCTCAATTGTGGACATAAGTTGAGGACTAACTATTTAGACTCAGAAATCACAGGGCCAACAATTTTTTAACCTTCTTTGAATAAGCTAAAATTTTCCATAAAAAAAAGAGAGAAGTGTCTCAACCCAGACATCTCAGAACAGTCAGGAAAACCTAGAAGGAATGATGGAGGAAAAATAGTGGAGTTAAAAAGTTGAGGCTGCGATTCCATTTTACATTTTACTGCGCCGAAAAAAGTTGGAAATCAATGCTTTTTTTTCCCCCTTTCCCCTTTCATCCTACACTTCTCCTTTCCCTCTTTTTCCCCTTCCCCTTTCCCTAAAATCTTTGTTTTCATTTGTATTTTAAAGGATAATCCCAATTTTAAAAAGATCTAGGAAAAAAAAAACCTGGTGCAGTTTTAATTGAAAGGCATTTGTGCAAACTTTATTTATTCGCCTTTATTTATGATCACAGGGGGAATTGGAGGCTCTGCTTTTGTTGGTGGTGCATTGTTTTAATGGCTTTATTTTGGGCCAGCTCTTTCGACTCGCAAACCAACTGGCCTAAAATAAAGCCATTAAAACAATGCACTACCAATAAAAAAAACCCAAAAGCATCACATTCCCTCTTTGATTATTTGCAAAACAAGGGAGGTGGGCGGGATGGGGGTGTCTACAGTTACACTGGGGAGATTAGACACCCCTGCGGATTCGGCTAATACCTCACAGCTTCCGGAAAAAACCTTCCAGGTCAGAAGTCGACCTAATGGGAGTTTTCTTTCCAGATTTTGACTTCTAAGTGAAAGTCTTCCAAGATTGGCTGGCTGAGGCTTGAAGGGGATCATTTCAGGCCCTTCTGCTCGGCTGTTTTAATAAAGCGGTGGCTACATTCGATCTTACAATCCTTGAAAAGCCAAGGGGAAAAAAAAAAGGCCTCTCTCTCTTTTCCCTTTCGAAAGATTCCAACGCAGGCTTTAAAAAGCGCATCAGAATAAGGAGCTGTCTTATAAAGAAAGCAGGAAATCTATATGACACAACAAATCCATCTGCTGCTTTCTCCTTCTCAGGATCTCTGGGGGCCCGCCACACACACACACACACACACACACACACCCCTTCTTTCTCTGCTGCTTATCCCTGCCCCCCATGTTCCTCTGCTCTCACAATGCCATCCATGCAGGCGTGCTCTGGCCAGGTTCTGCCAACGGATTACTCAACCCAGCTTCAACAATGAAGCCATTGGCAAGCATTAAGGAGGCTTTTTAGATGCCCAAGCCCGAGAGTATACCCACAATGCATGAGCTCACCGAGAAAAGACCGCCTTCGCTACCTCCCACAGCCATCTGGAGTCACCAAGCCATGGCGTGCCAAGTTCATCTGGGCACACCGTGTTCCCATCACACATCAACGCTGCCTAGAGCTCTCTGCAAATGCCAACCTCCCCGGGCCCCCCCCCCAAAAAAGAGGGCGGTAAAGGCTGGCACGCCGTTACACCTCGCGCGAAGCTCCCTTATGCATACCAAGCAGACCATTCTTCCCTCCCTCCCTCCCTTCTTCTCGCTTACATAAATAAACCAGGTTTCCCTAGGAGAGTCTTTCTCAGCCGCTTTCAAAGGGGTGGACTTCAACTCCCAGAATTCTCCCTCACCCCGACCAGCACAGGGAATTCTGGGAGTTGGAATCCGCCCCTTTGAAAGTGTTTAGGGCTGAGAAAGACTAGCTTAGACTATCTCCTCAGCGCCTCAACTTTTATTTTTACAGGAGTTGGAAGGAAGTTTGGGGGTCTTCTAGTCTAATCCACCGGTTCTATACCACTCCAGACAAAGGGCTGGACCTCTTCTTAAAAACCACCAGTGGTGGAACACCATAATTTCTGGAGGCAAGTTGTTCCACTGGTTAATTGTTCCAACTCTCAGGAAATTTCTCCTTCGTTTTAGGCTGCTTCTAAGTTTCTACCCATTGCTTCTGGATTAGTTTCCATCCACTGCTCTCTTGTCCTGCCTTCAAGTCCTCTGGAGAATAACCCCCTCCCCTGAGATATTGGAAAACACTGCTATCAATTTTCGTGCCCAAACTCCCCCCAACGATTCAGGATGCATCGTCATCGTTATTATTATTATTATTATTATTAAACCTGTTCAGCTCCCGGATGGCTCTGAGTCGACGGATGTATCGGCGGCAACTGGGTAAGATGGAGAGGTGGTGGGCGTGGAGCGTCAGGAAGAAACACTCCGTTGGGAATTTTGGCTCAGAGAAGAGAGACTGGTCCCTGGCTGCGGAAAGAAAGAGAAGAGAGCAGAAGTGAAAAAGGGAGGGAAACCCAAATGAAATGTCACAAGTCTGCCAGAGGATATATATAAGGAGGGATCTCATCTGTCATACAAACCAACATTTATTCATTACAAAGTAGTACAAAAACAAACAAACAAACCCAACTGAAGTACAGAGAGCTTCAAGGATGACTCTGAACTGAACGACTTTGCTTCCTGCAAAGGTTTCGTCATCTTGGCCTGACTTTCATCCCTTATGGGAGGGGCAATCATCTCCCGGCCTTATTCCCGAATCGCTCCTTTTGTTTCAGCTGCTCTTGCCTTCTAGCAGCTCTGCGCATACGCGCACTGGGAACAGGCTCCCCTGGGTCCTCTGCCTCGCTGCTGCCAGACTCCGGAGGCAGAACCCCACTCCCAGATGGCCCCATTCCTGCATCGGACACAGAACCCTTGTCCAAGTCCTCTCCAGACTCCCGGACTGGTCCCCGTTCTTCCCCACTGTCCGATTCCGCTGTCATCTGCACAGGCTGCCAGCGAACCACAACATATAGATTTATTTCAAGCTATTTAGCTCTCACCACAGGTCTTCAAGTGGCCAAGGGTGAGAAATACTGACTTAAGACGGTTTCTATCCAACTCTATCCACTTCATATAAAAACACCTTAAAATACCACAAAGCAGAAAAAAAACACACGAATCAAATTAGAGAAAGAGAGAGAGAGAGAGAGAGAGAGATGCAGATTCCAGGAAAGGACCTCAATCCAAACACAAAGACTGACATCAGTGCACGGACTCCAAGCGAAATCAAGAAGCTGTTCACTCACACAGCTCCACCATCCAGCTACTGACATCCTCCAAGGTGGCTTTGACTCGTGTTTCATCCGCAGGCACCACGATTCGACACCGAGGATGGAAGATGTAGGACGGGTCGACCGTCTCGAGTTTGATTTTTGTGCTCAGCTGCTGCAGCACCCAGAGGAAGTTCAGCATGAAGCCATCCGTAGACACCAGCCGATCGTCCGCCTGCGGGGCCGGGGCAAAGAGGAGTCAAAATAAGGAGCCAAGTTGGGTCTTGAGTTGACCCCACCCAAGGCCTCCTGGGTATTCAGGTAGGTGTCAATAAGGGAGAATAGCTGTAGTTCAAGGCTGACAGGAGGAGGTCCTTGGTGGTCTCTGAGCTTGGCTGTTTTTCCTGCAGACATTTCCTGACCAAACTAGGTAACAACATCAATGCTGGAAGGGTTTGTGGGAAGGAGGAGGAACAGGAGTCCAACTGTGAGGTCCTTAGTGCTCTCTGAGCTTGGAAGGGAGTGGGGTTTGGGAGGAGGAGGGGGCGGAGGAAGAGCAGAGGAAAGGAGTCGATTGTGGGGTCCTTTAGTGCTCTTTGAGCTTAGTTTTCTTACAGATGTTTCATGACCCAACTAGGTAACATCATCAATGCTAGAAGGGAGTGTGGTTTGCGAGGAGGAGGAGGAGGAGAATTGTGAGTCCTTGGTGCTCTGAACTTGTTTTCTTGCAGAAGTTTTATTACCCAACTAGTGAACATCATCAGTGCTAGTCACGGTATCAGAAGCCCAACTAAGGGATTTGCTATCTGAAAATTAAGACAGGTGTCATCACACCTTCGAAGTATCCTTCATGCTATTTTAATTATAATTATAAATGGCTATAAATCGGGGTGCTTGCAGCGTGAATTTTTCCTGCATCCTTTTGGTTTGGGCACTTTTTGGGAAGTGGGGGAGGCAAAAAGTTGCATATAACATCAAAAAGGGGTTTGGAATGGCAAACTCACCTGCATTTGTGCCTTTTTAACGTTGGCGTTGACCACGGCTGCCATATAGCTGAGAGCAGCTTCCCGCGTTTCTCCGTTGAGCAAAATACTGTGCAGGATCTTGAATAACTCTTGCTAAAAAGTTTGACAAAGCAGGAAAAAAAAAAGAAAGGAACTGAGGGTGAGGTATGGCTCACCTTTAGGCAGACATCACCTAACCTGAGAATCACACAGCTTGAGGCCACAAGGATTCCCTTAATGTAGTCTGGGAGGGATTCTTCTGATATGGTATGAATTTACACATCTTAAACAAAGCAGCACTATCTCTCACAAGACAGATAAATTTAGTTTTAGTTTAGTTTACTTTATGGTCATTACACCTCGTACAATGAAATCAAACATCCTTCAGTGCACATCATGACCATGAAAATAAACACACACATCCTTCGCCTTCCACACATTAAACCGAAACCTCCCGACATCGTACCAATACTGCACTGTACAGCAGAATTCAATAGAGTTACTGCCCTGAGATAGAAACTGTTTTTCAGCTTATTTGTCCTTGTTTTTATTATCCTGTACCATTTGCCAGATGGTAATAGTTCAAAAAAAGGGTTCCCAGGATGAGATGGATCTTTGAGAATATTTTGAACTTTCTTAAGGCAGCGGGAGCTATAAAGCTCTTCCAAAGAGGGGAGAAGGCAACCCAAGATCCTCTGGGCAATGACGTTCACCCTCTGGAGTGCTTTCCTATCTGCCCCTGTGCAATTGGCAAACCATACAGAGATGCAATAAATTAAGATACTCTCTATGGTGCAGCGGTAGAAGGTCACCAGCAGTTTTTCATTCAGTTGTTGTTTTCTGAGAAGTCTCAGGTGGTATAATTTCTGCTGGGCCCTTTTGACCAGGGCTGCAATGTGGGCACCCCCAGGTCAGGTCCTCTTTTAGGGTAACACCCAGAAACTTTAAAACCGGCCACTTGCTCCACTCGGTCTCCATGGATAAGCAAGGGCTGGATGTCTGATCTGTTCCTTGTATAATCCACTACACTATAAACGCGGAGAGGGAGAGGCGGGGAGGGAAACAGGTGTTCAATTTTAATTCAGGACTATACATTTCTGTGAGAAATTGACCACCCTTCTCCGAAACAAAAGCGAAAACCTGAAGTGTCGTCTTCAGCACACCTACCCTGGCAGATTCCAGGTAATGTTGCAATGACTGGCTAACGACCCGCGTGTTTTCCAAAGTAATGGTAGGCCCGGAGAAATATTTTTCGACAACTCTAGGCTGCAAAGGGAAAAACAACACCAACATCAATTGCGAGCGGCAATTCCACGCTGCCTTCGCACAAAACTTGGCAAGTGGGTCCATTTTGCGCGTGTTTCTCTGGCCTCGACTACAGCTTGCTCTCTCTTTAACCCCCACAACTTTCTCAACGAGAGAAGAAAAGTAAATTGGTTCCGTTTGTTTTTCCCAGCATAAACCAGGCACCCCCAATTCCAGCAACCCTCCTTCATCATGGTTTAGCCTCCAGCTCCCAAATCCTCTTGGTTGCCCCTTCTCTGCACTTACATCATCCTCGGCGAAGACGGAGAGGCTGAAGAATACCCCGAGGTAAGAGAGTCTCTGGAGCTCTCGGCCCATCCCGGGGCTTAGAGATTTTGGCAACCACAAAGGCAAAGAGACCACCTGGAGAGAGAGAGAGAGAGAGGAAGAGAACAGAGAGATCCCCCAAAGGTGAGCAGGGAAGAGGGCTGGATGGTCAGATCACTCTGCCTCGGGCTTTTGGGCAGAATCCCGCAAGGATTTGTCACTTTCCCCCACTCACCAAACTGCAGACAGGATGCGATTTCCCAAACTTGATCTCACAGAGTTCCCCTAAAGCCTGCAAGGGAAAGAGAAGGGGAGCACAGGATTCAGACACACACACACACACACACACACACACACACACACACAGTTTCTGGAAATTAATAGCTTAAGCCGCCGTTTCACGACACTGCAAATGGGACACTGTTTGGCCTGAAGCGGTCACCCAGGTTGGTTTGCTGATTGGAAGAAACGCAAATCTTTTTTTTAATCACTTCCAAATCTAGAAGCCTAGGGTGGAAGGGAACCCAGAGGTCTCCTAGCCCAACCTCCTGCTCGAACAGATTTTATACCGTCCTGGTGAAATTGATTGTCCGGTCTTATTTTTGAAAACCTCCAGTGACGGCATACCTACAACCCCGGGGGGGGGCAAGTTATTGTGGGGATTCGCTCTTCTCACAGCTAGAAAATCTCTTCCCTGCTTCTACGTTGGATCGCTCTTAAACAAACTTCCGCCCCTTACCTCTTGCCTTGCCCTCTGGTGCCCTAGAGAATAAGGGACTCCCCTCCTTCCTGTCATAGACCCTCAGGTACTAGAAGACAGCTGTCCGGTCACCCCAATCCTTCTCTTTGTAGTACCGTATTCTTCACACTATAAGACGCACTTCTCCACCTCCTCCCCAAAAAGTGGATTGAAATGCCTCCACCCTTCAGCCACTTCGAGCTGCCTTTTCAAGCGTCCACGCCAGAGGTGGTAATTCAACCGGTTCTGACCGGTTCTGGAGAACCGGTAGCGGAAATTTTGAGTAGTTCAGAGAACCGGCCAATCCCACCTCTGACTGGCCCCGCCAACCCCATCTCTCCTCCGCCTCCCATCGAGTCCCAGCTGATCGGCTGGGTCTCTCCTTGGGTTGCCCTGCCCAGGAGAACGGAGCTGGAAAGCAGGTTAGTGGGGTGGGGAGGGAAGGGGGATATTGCAGCATCCATTCCCTGCCACGCCCACCAAGCCACGCCCACAGAACCGGTAGTAAAAAACGTTGAATCCCACCACTGCTCCATGCAAATGCAGTCCATTGAAAACCTCCCTTCCTTTTTGTGCTCCATGTGAACCCATAAGATTTGGGCTTTTTCTCTGGCAGAGAAATATTTTGTTACGCAAGCCCCCGCCAGGCCATTTAAACCCCGCTGAGAGAGGGCCCGCCACAAATGTGAAGCAGCCAAGCTTACGCCGTCCTGGCAGGCTCTTCCGATACTCACCATAAGGGGGTATTTAAAGTTGTCGCTATCAAAGGAGCATTCTTTTGAAGCAAGAGCCAGCCCTTGTAAAATAGGTATAAAGATCTGTTGGAAAGAAGGAAAAGAAGATCGTTTAGGCGGCGTCTTAGCTTCCGTCTGGAGAAAAGAGCCGGCCCTAAGGGTGAACCAACTAAGGGCAGGGGTGAGGTGCCAAAAACGTCTTCGGCTCCGGAAGACTTTTGGTTCAACAAGCTAAAAATGTATAGGGATAGTTCAAGAGTCCAGCAACATATTGGTGTTGCTCAGGCAGCACGTATGGAGCTCAAGAACTAGACTAGCCTCTCTCTCTCTTTTTGGGGGGTTTACCTGTTTGAAGACTTCTTCATCTTGGTGAGTCGTCCTCACCAATTCCTGGATGAAACCGAACGGGAGATTCCTGCAGAGCATGTACGGGACTAGCAACGACTGCTGTTGGTTTGACCTGGGTGCGAGAGACAAAAAGGGTTTAAAAACATCCCCACCCCCCGCCCCCCTCCGCAGAGTTCAGAGAAGTCTGAAGCCGAAGGACTGATTCCCGAGAGGTCAAACGGGTTGCTAGGTGGCCTCCTGTCCCACTGACCTCAGCTGCGTTAGAGATCCTTGGAGCACCAAAGCCGCGTGAGAAATGCACTGGGATCGGATGTTGCTCAGAAGCTGGCTCACCACCGGCTGGCTGCACATCTAGGAGAGGCAGAAGCAGGGCGAGGCAGCCCATCGTTCACCCTTAACGTTTCTCAAACATAGCACCTTTCAGACAGGGGGACCACAACTCCCAGGGGAAAGGGACAGGGGAGACAAGGAGAGAGGGAGGGGGAGAGGGGAGGGAGGAGAGGAAGAAGGAAGGGGAAATGGAGAGGGGGAGAGGCAGAGGCAGGGGGAGGGGAGAGGGAAAACAGCGAGACGAGGGGGAGAAAAGAGAGGGAGGAAGGGGAAATGGGGTGAGAAGAGTGGGAGAGGCAGGGGGAGGGAAGGGGGAGGAAAGGAGAAAGGAGGGGGGAAGGGGGAGGGCGTGAGAGGAGGGAGAGGGAAGGGGAAATGGGGTGAGAAGAGTGGGAGAGGCAGGGGAGGTAAGGTGGAGGAGAGAGGGAGAGGGGAGGGACAGAGGGAGATGGGGAGGAAAGGGGGAGAGGGAGGGGTGAGAGGGAGAGAGAAGGGGGAAAAGGAGGGGAGGGAGAGGGAGAGGGGGCAGGAGGGGGAGAGGGAAAGGGGGCTTCTCTACTTCAGCGTCTTTAAGATGTACGGACTTCAACTCCCAGAATTCTGGGAGTTGAAGTTGCGAACCTGTTAAAGTCGTTATAAAGTTGAAAACCACTGACACCAAAGATGGTGACTTGCCTATAAAGTCCAGATTTCACTTAACACACAAAACACAAACACAAGGAAAGGAAAGGAACCTAAAGGGAATAAATTGGTGCAGGCCGGCAAGGAAACGATAAATGAGAGAGGGGGGGGGAAGGGAGGGGGGAAGGGGGGGGGGGGCGGGTACCTTTGGCGCTTTCCTTTCCTCAATCCCCACTCGGTCGAAGCACTCAATGAGGTAGTTTAGCATCTCCGTCTCCTTGCACGTCTCAATGGCGAAATGGTCGCTGCACGAGTCGGAAATGCTGGCCCCGCCGGAGCCTCCGCCACTGGGCAAACAAAACAGGGACGCACCACTGAGTCCACAAAGGCTAGAGCGGCCTTCCGGAAGCCAGCCAGAAGGAAGGGAAGGAAGGGGGCCATGGATGGGGAGGGGGCCTACCCTGGACAGAAACAAGGCTCATCCCTGGATTGCACACGCCCACCCCCCACCCACCCCCCGAATTCCCATAAACCTAGCCAGTCCCATCTTGGCTGTTACAGCCTGCTCTCCCCTTAGCCAACGGGCCTATTGGATGACCCCTCATCGCTCAATAGGCATCCTTGTGTACGGGGGGGGGGTCCATCCACACAACCCCACACATGGTTCCTGGGGAGTGGAGGCTGGGCAGCACCTTGGAGTCAACGCTCTGAGCCAACTGCTTGCTCTTAGGACTCCTTCCATCGGCCTCCATGTTTGAGCAACTCAAACGGAACGGAACTCTCTTCTCCCGAGAGGTTTAAGTGGGATGCCAGCCCAGCAGCCTCACCCACCTCAACCCAGAATCCTCTTCTCTGCAGGGAGGGAACCGTCCCCGAATGGCGACGAGGACCCCAGAGGGCCTCGAACTGTGGCTGAAGGCCACCGGGCCCTATCAAGTTCTCATCCCCACCAGGTTCGGGCGAACCGGTTATCTCATTTTATCGTGTTCAATTACCGGTTCTGCAAAATGGTAAATCCCCACCCCTGGCTAGCCCCGCCCATCCCGCCCGACGCACCCCATTTCAGGTGCCAGGTAAGTGCACAGAGGCTCGGGGGAAAAAAATAGACCTCCAAAAGGCCTCCAGAGCCCGGGGAGACCGTTTTCACCTCCTGGAGGCTCGAGTAAGGTGAAAATACCTGCCTCCTGCCGTGGTACAGGAAGCCGGCTAAGCCACGCCCGCTCAGCAACCGGGCAGAGAACCGGTTGCTGAAATTTTGGAAATCCTCACGCAAGGTTTCAGTCTCTTGTCTACCCAACTCCGGGCTCCACGTAGCGTTTATTGCAATCTGAGCACATCTTTGCAAGAGCTGGTTTTGGGCAACTGGGAAGGCAGGGGAAGGGGACAGTGAAAGTGGGATGTCCCACTGTGCAGATGGGAGCTTGTGTTGCCCCCGAGTCAAAAATAACAAACCCCTACCCCACCCCCAGGTTGGGTTTGACATCAGACTCCTCTGGTCCAAGTATTCTTGGAATCGGAACCGGCGCTCTATTTCTTTGCAAGGAGCCATTATTTAACTTTTTAAAGATTCGCAAAGACATGATGTTTGTGTGTATTTTGGATATCAAACAGCCCGATTAGAGAAGTTTGCTTGTTATGAGTTTCTGGGCTTTTTTCAAGCGTAACAAAGCACCGTTATTATTCCCATCCAATTTATTTGCTGTCCATCTCGTGGACTCATAGTGTTTTACAAAGCGTCCTTGTAATTCACAAGTTACTGCATCACACTAGCCGTGAAAGTGCATAGAAAGTACTGTATTTGCCTGTGCTTTGCTAAAGTGAGTTTGCTCAATTATAATAAGCCATAAACTAACAACACGGACCAGGCTTGTACATGGCTTTCAGCCAGTACGGTTGTTGGGTTAGCCATAAACTATGGCTTACTAAACCCAACAGCTGAGATTAAGGCTTAGAGGATTGGATAAATTAAATTTACACAAACACATCCTAGTTTTCATTGAATTGGGCGCCAGCTGAGGCCACTCCTAAAGCATCAGGGAAGTTGTGGATGAGATCCATTGGAGGATTTCAATCCTCTTTATAGCCCATTCACATGCTGCGGATAAGCCAAAACCCTAAAGAAACCCTATGGCCTCTTAACTGCTCTGGCAAAAGCTTCTCTTGTGGGTGGAAATGGCCAGCCTGATTTGAGATATTTCCCATTTAATATACTCAAAATAAAAATTCCTGGCTGGCCACTCCTTTTACAAGCCAGAGTCAAAAGCCTTTTTTTTTTTTTTTTAAAGTCATCATAGCCACAATTTACCCAGGCATCAAATTTTGTGAAAAGCAACCCCTTTTACAAGGCTAGTTTCGAAGGACTGACTCACAAAACGACCTTGGGATAATTTGGCACTAAAGAGCCTAGGGGAGGAGGAGAAAAAAAAAAAAGAGAGGGAGAGATTTCATCCTTGCAGAAAAGGTAAATGTTTTTGTGAAGTGGGAGGGACTTGAAATGAAATGTTGACTCAGGGGCACGGGGGTGAGGGAAGGAGAGGGATGGAGTAAGGATCTTGAGGGCAGAAGATGCAGACAAGTCACACTCTTTTTCTAGAGTACCTGGACCCAAATGGCACACAAGAAAAATCCTCCTCTTCCTCATTTTCTTCCTCAGAACTGTCTCCAGAGACATCGGAAATGGCAAGGAAGAGGGAGAAAGGGCTGTCGTACATACTAGTATAACGAAAGCAGATGTGGGTGAATGAATACAAGAGAACGGAGGGAAGAGACCCACCCATGGACACACACACACACACACACACACACAAGCTGTTGGGTTTTCTACTACCAAGACCCTCTTCCACGGCAAGCATGCGGCCGCAAGGGGGTTAGAGAGACAACAGAGTTATAAGGCGTGTCCCGGCAAACCTCGCAAGGCAAACACGGGCGATCAAGAGAAGCCGATCAGGCTGCCTTCTGGGGAAGATTACCAATGGCAGCGCCCTAGGAATTTAAAGGAAGGCTCAATTCCTGAATAAAATTGCTTGCTGGTCTTAACAGCAACAGCTGTTAAGACATAGCCACCTTGGGCAGAGGCAAAAACCCTGGTCTGTCTCCTCCAACTGCCTGGCATCAGAAGGGAGCTTCTGCCAGGGGTGGAAGAGTCTTGAGGGAGATCCTTAACATTGTCCTATCGCTAGCTGGAGGGTGAGGATGCCAGCTGGTACAGTTTCTCCAAGGCTGAGGGTCAATTTTTTTCCCCAAGCTTTTCAGCGGTTGCTCTTCGCTACTATGGGGGAAAAAAATCAACGGTTGGCTGAACCGTTTCTTACTCTGGGACTCAAGGAGGACTCTTTAGAACAAGGGCCTTCAAGCTTGGCAAGTTTGTGGACTTCAACACCCAGAATTCCTGAGCTAACATGACTGGAGGAGGAATTATGGGAGTTGAAGTCCACAAGTCTTAAAGCTATCACGTTTGCTTAAGAATCACACGAGAATCTCCGGGAAGCTTACAGGAATTCTCTCTGCCAGCGCAGTTGAACGACTTCTCCTTTGGCCAAAGGATAACTACGCTATGTCTTTGCTCCAAAGCAGGGATGTTCAACCTTGGCAACTTGGAAGACTTCAGGGCTTCAATTCCCAGTATGGCTGGCTGAGGAATTCTGGGAGTTGAAGTCCACAGTCTTCAAGTTGCCATCCCTGCTCCAATGTCTGGATGTCCTCCTGCTCTGTGTCCCAAATATTGCACATGGTTTGGTAAGCCAGAATCTGGTCTTCATTTGGGCTTCAGTTCAACGAGATGGGAAAAGCAGAGCCATCCCATCCACCCTGAAGACCGCAACTGATACCCAAGCGACATATTGTACTTATATTTGCCAAACTCTTATTTGCCAAACTGCAAACAAAAACAGGGTTGTTGTTTTTTTTCCCCCTTTCCTTCCTGACTGCACAAAGCATCTCGAGATCTCTTGGGCTGAAAAGCAGAATAAAACGTCTCTTCCGTTAGTAAAAATATTCCCTTCTTCCGCGCTGCCCTGGAAAACGCCGTGAATCGTGCCAAACCAACCACACGGATTCAAAATCAGGATTAGCGCAGTTCAAAAACGCTGTTAGGAAAGCAAAGCCAGAAAGCTTGTTTTAAAAGCGAACGGATTTAAGTTCCAAAATCTAGCTGCTCACTGCAACCCAGCAGGGCAAACACACACACAGAAAAATTACACAAATTCACCCAGCTGCAAATATACCTAGAGGGCATCCTGCCTGGGGAAGAGGTACGGCTGCTGCCCAAGGCGGAGAACAGGGGCAGAGTGTTAGCTACAGGTCTAACCCTGGATGAAGAGACCCGTGTAGCTGGAGGAGTTGGGTTTACGCCTGGAGGAGTCGAAGAGGCTGAAACGCTTGAGGTTCCGGATGAGGGTAGGGCAGGAGGAGCTGCCAAGGTCCAGGGGTGTGCCACTGTGTACGGACGGTACCGAGGGGATGAGGGCTGGACGCTGAGTGGCCCTGCCGGCAGGAGGTGGGGGCTGACAGACAGGGAAGACACGGGGAGGGGAGCCACGGGGCTGGGGGAAGAAGGAAGGAAGGAGCCAGCCAACGGGGGGTGACTTGCGATGTTGAAAATGGGAATGGGGCTGCTTCCATAGAGGCTGCGGTCAAACGAAAGCGGGGAGCAGGAGGAGATGGGGGAGAAAAAAAAAGAGGATGACAAGAATTGACAACAGGGAAGACCACAAAAATGGAGACGACGATGCAGGAGAGAAAGAGAGAGAAAGAAAGAGAGAGAGAGAGAGAGAGAGAGAGAGAAAGAAAGCAACCACTCGGATGAAATTCTTTCACCAAGGAGGGGCGCCTCATAAAACCCTTCCTGGATCAAACTGCCCCAAACGTTTGGAACTCGCTTTGGAAGTGGGCCAGCTCCATTTGAAGGGCAGTTTGGGCCCCTGGCTATCTGTTCTGAGGCCAACTGTCCAGCAGGTGGCCAAATTTGCATAGGAATAGCCCTTTAATGCTTTGCAGTGCTTTACAGCTCCCTCTAAGAGGTTTACAGAGTCAGCCTCTTTCCCCCAACAATCTGGGTCCTCATTTTATCGACCTCAGAAGGATGGAAAGCTGAGTCAACCTTGAGCCAATGAGAATTGAACTGCTGGCAGTGAGCAGTTAACTTGCAATGCTGCATTATAACCACTGCACCACAACAGCCATCTATCTATCCATCCATCCATCCATCATCCTATCTATCATCTATCCACCCATCATCCTATCTATCATCTATCCATCATCCTATCTATCATCTATCCATCTATCATCCTATCTACCATCTATCCATCCATCCATCCATCATCCTATCTAT